GGGAGAGAAAGAGGAAGGGGTAGAGAAATATGTAGAAAAGGGAGAGAAAGAGGAAAAAAGAGGAGGTAATGAAAGATGAAAAAGGGGGAGGGAGCAGTCAGAAGTGGGAACAAGCTGGAGGAAAAATAAAAGAGAAAAGTGGAATGAAAAAAAGAGAAAGAAAAATGAATGCTGGCTATACACTGCACAATCTCCTTTAGAGTCACCAAAACTATATTATACAAGCACAAACCTGAAATAATTTATTCAATATCAAATCAGTCAAGTCCTTGCATGAGGTTGATGGTAGATATAAAGGAGATCATACAATCAGATTATATAGTGTATAATCAGCCTAAGACTCAGGGAAAAAAAAAGAGAAGGAGAGATAGAATGTTCTAGAACTCAACCATTCAATTACTCCCTATTCCTGTAGGTTGCCCTTCCAATAAGCAATAAGAAAGCAAAGAAAAGAAAACGAGCAAAGTAAATGGAAGCAGATAAAGGGAAACATAATGAAAAGAAGAGGTAATTAAAAAAAAAAAAAACTGACCTTTTTAAAAGAAAAAAAATAGTAAAATCAACACCAAAAACATTTTAAAGTTGAACTCCGTGATAAGCAATTGTTTCCTTAATGCAAGAGGCATGTGTATTCTTACATATCTTTAGGCCTTGTTCACACCAAATGCAGAGCAGATCCGGTCAGGTTTCTGCACACGCAGTGCAGTGGGTTGTGCCGTGTTTTTGATGCGTTCCGGGCCGTTTTTGGTAAAAAAAATAAATACATTTTTAAAAAGTTTAACATTGGCTTTCAGGCACTTGCATGCGTTTTTGATGCGTTTTTAATGCGTTCCAGAGCAGATAAAATAGGGCTTGCCGCAGTTTTTTCACCTGCTCTGGATCTGCACGCTGCGATGTGAACTGGAGCTCAAAATACCATAGGAATACATTAGACGCAGTTTTGATCCGGTCTGCACCTGCTCTGCTCTGGATCTGCTCCGCGCTTGGTGTGAACAAGCCCTTAGCCTTTTCTTCCAGATCTGTGCAGTAACCCAGTGTGAAACTTCCCGCCTGTACAGGAGCTTCCTGTAATAAAAACCAGTCACTGCTGCTCTCACTCCTTGTGCAGGGTGACTGGTCTTGTATCCGCCCCCTCCTGTCATTTTCTTCAGCCAGCCTGTACTGGGTGGGGTCTACTAGGCCCCTCCCATGGCTCAGCTCTCTGTACAGGCAATGTACAGCACAGTGATGATATTACTGATACTTTCACAAGGAAATATCCGGATTTCCAAAAGCATTTGGTGCACACAAAGTAGATTCATATCCTTGGTGGCTATTTAAATGAAAGTTTTCTGCAAACGTCCGATGGTGGCTGGTAGTGGATACTGGACTTTTCACATCATCGCTGAACGTTGCCTAGCCCTAAACTGCGTCTTTCTCCAATGACCACTATTTATAATGCTATAATGCTATACTTTGCTGGAGGCTGTTTAAAAAAAAAAAAAAAAGTTCTTCATTCCTCGTTTTCTAGTGTGTTCCCACCATGCTCTTCCCCCCGCCCCCTGCACTGGCGCCACCATCGTTCTAATGGAGGCACCCATGCGCACTCGTCCCCGCAGCGGCAGTGTGCATCCATAGACACACACAGCCCGGTGGCAGGCCACGCCCCTTCCTTCTTTGGCTCCTCTGCCATCAGTATCCTCCCCCCACAACCCGGAAGTTCGGGGTGCGGAGGATCGCTTCGGGACCGGTAGCGGGGACGAGCGCAGCTGACAGGTAAGTGTGGGGGAGACTGGGGTAGAAAAAAGGTGCTGGGCTGTTTTTACCGTAATGCAGTGAATGCATTAAGGTAAAAAACGCCCAGAACTTAATACTACTTTAAGTCTACCCAAAACGGATATTTTAGCTGTGGTTGGATGCTGCCATGTTGCGTCACCCGATTAACTGATTCACTCACTGATTAAAGGAACGTGAGGTGAAAACATGGCACTTGCTGAGGCCACTAAAGAGAAGTCTTGCTTTACCTGTAGCCTGAAGCAGCAGGATTGAGACTGCATGTTTGAAACAGATGGTATGGTAGGGTAGTGGGGATATAAAGCAGTGCATATGCGATCAGGATTCAGGGCTGCTTTAAAACAATATACAATTAAGTATAAAGAAGAATTCCAGGATGACGGGGCCTCTAGATTAAGGTAAGTGCGATAATGTACATTACACTTACCTTTGTACCTCTGATAAAGATCTTCAGATGAAAAGTTCAGAAGCCAACAGGCTTTCACCTCCAGCACTCTGCAGACAGCCAAGACCTTGTGACATCCTCATATACATTTACAGGAATTTCTCGGACTGGCTGCAAAGCAGAATGCCAGGAGTAGAAGCCTTCCAGCTCACTAACCTCATATATAAAGATCTTTGAATTCCACATTTAGAGACCTCGTTAACTTCAAGCTCTTCCTTATACATTTTTAATGAAGATAAAAAAAGGAGCATGGGGTGTTTTATATAAATGCCTGGAGTTTTGCTTTAAATTTGACTTCAGCAGGCATGGTTTAAACATCTTTAAAAATAGCTATAATTTTATGTTACGAAACAATGACAAATAGCTCCTCTCAGTGGCCAATTCACCATTTTACAACCCTTGAAAATCCAACAATGCTGCAAAGCATTTCAGGCATATGACATCACTTAACAGCACCACCCAGTGGTGGAATTCAGTATGATCCTTCAATTTAACAATGTAGTTACACACATTCAGGAATAGCTTACCTTTCTGCCAACTGGCACCCCCTCCGCTTCCTCCTCCTCCGGCCATATCTGACATCCCTGCACGTGTCCGACTGGAGCCAGCTGCTAATACAGTTCCAAGTTAATAAAACTCCACTGTGCACTACTTTTATGGCTACACAAAATAATCCCACGCAACTGTCATGTTTTTGGCAATTTCTCTGCACATTATATGTAAGCGAATCAGAACCTGTCACGATCAACTGCAGACATTGGTTTGTGAGGGTCTAAGGGACTGCACTTGCAACGTACACAGTACAAGTGTCATCCAAGGTTTGGCCTCTCATTTCATTAACTTTGATTAGCAGGCTCTTTCTGAAATTGTGATCCTTGACTCACATAAGTAAGCTAGTTGACTTTTGCTATTTCTGGCCATCAATGTTCTCTCATCATGGGAGCGGATTTTGTTCTGGATGGTACAGGCTTGCAGCCTAATTTTTATTAGGGGCTTTGAATTTCTCCTAAAACAACTTATTATGGCTATGATACAATGCACTGGCTCATTACTGAATTTTAACTTAAAAACATAACTAGCTAAAGGTTGCTGGTCCACTGAATGGCTTAAGAGGAATGTGTGCAGTAGTGGTGCATGTAAGAATTCATGTGACGGTGCAGTAGCTGCATGTGCCACAGTGTGTGTTGCTGCAATGGTGTTAAGTACACAAGTGTTCATATTCGGGATATCTGAAAATGGCACTTATACTTAGCACTTGTGTGTTCCTTTTACGACCTACCTGATGTGAATTGTGGTGGTCTCCAGTTAAATGTCAATGCTACCATGCATGTGTGGTAGCATTTTGGGTATAACTGAAAATAATACTTTTTTTTTACGAAGTTGGCAGTATATTCTTTTCATGGAACCACATCCAAGTGTACGCTTATTAGAACTGAAAAGAGTGATGACAGCGCATTTGCTCTACTGACGAGGTCATAACATGGACTCACTACTGTGCATGCGCCAAGCGTAGGCACCATTTTGGAGTAGCAAAATTGTGCCAGTTCATTTTACATGAAAAATGCAGAAGTGTACAGTGTGGTGACGGTGAGTGCAGAAATGTGTGGTGACTACAGAAGTGTGCAGCGCACAGTGGCAGAGTCGATAGAAGTGCGTTGGTGACAAGCAGGAATCTATGTGAATATAGTGTCAGCGACCAGGGTCATACATGTCAGTGCCGTGGCAGTGAGCAGTATCTTGTGCGTCAGTGTGGTTGCAGCAAGCAGAGCCCTGTGTGTGATGGCGTTAGCGGGTTCATGTGTGTTGGTGAAATAATTAAGTGGAAAAGTGCGCTGCGCTCCAAGGTTCAGTGGAGAGGCAGTAGAGTAGTAGTATGGTGCCAGCAAAAGAACAATAGGAGGTGGGGTGGGTGTAAAAAAGGAGGTTAGAAGGCACGTTAGAGGGGCAGTAGGTGGCTAGGGGGTTAATAAGGGTGCAGAAAGGGGACAATAATAGATGGAGAAGTAGAGGGCCTTAGAAGGGCAGTATAGGAGCAGTAACAAGGCAGTAAATGTGTAAAAAGGTATTGAGGGACGGGGGGTAATCTGGAAGTTAGCTGTGAAGTAAGATGGTAGTGTTCTGGCTGCTCCAGTACTTCCACTTGCAGGAGCACAGGGCCCCTGAAACCTTAATCTCCTGAAGCGTCCTTTAAAATAGTAAAGATTCTCAAATTCTTTAAAGAGCTCAATTACATCTAATTACAGCTACTGCACAGGCTGCTATTGTCGCCACCATTTTGCTCTATCCTCAGGATCCTTGCAATATTAATGGAAACCACATAGGGGTTCCACATTATTTGATGTTGGCCGTGGGTGGCTTCAATGCATATTTACAGCAGAACATAGTAGCTGAACATAGTATTGGTGTTAGAGACTGGAAGAGGGGGCAGGCACAGCAGAGGAATGGGCACTGTATGGAAATGCTGGTGGCACAGAATTTTGATGTGCATGTGGCAAATCAGATGCCATTGCTATGGCACCCAGCTGCCATCTTGAAGTTCAACTTGAAAAATAAATGCACTTTTACTTTGCATGTAATCTTTTTTTTTTTTTCCTTTTATTAAAATGCGTCACCACTATTTTAACTCGGCTCACCTTAGCAATAGAACCCTGAACATTATTGTACACTTGCAATCTATATATCAGATGGGGAAAACAAAGTCCATTTTACTTTTTGTATTCTTCATTTACAATAAGTATAGGATTATCAGCAGAGCTGGGTAGTGTTCCATGCACCTACTCACCACTGGAATGTTGGGAATTGCTGTTAGCTTCCTCATAGTGGTTGGGCTGTTTTGCTTCAATTTCTTGGTTAAATGCACTTTCTGGTAAGAAAAATTTGAAAAGAAAAAAAAAAATTAAAATGCATTTTTATGGGGAGTACAAAAATTAGTCTATTGGGTGGAGACATGAAGCCCTTAACCTTTGGGTCATACCACCACCTACAGAGGGACTGAACACTAGCCAGAAAAAAAAACTGTAGGCCAGCCCAGGTCAACCTCCTATTACCAGCATGCCTCAGTTTTGTACCAAAGCAATACAAGGAGCATAATCATAAAAATAGAAGGATGTAACTGGTGTACCTCAACCACTAACAGGTTTAAGAAAACAGAACTGGAAGGATCCTGCACACAATGCCAGCATCAGATGAGGCCAAAACAACAACCTGGCATAACGTAGAGAACATGTGAACAGAAGACCAAGTGGCAGCCTCACCAAGTGGCAGCCTCAAAAATCTGATAGTTGCTTGTAAAGCCCAAGAAGCCCTCACAGATCTAGTAGAGTGCATCTTCACAGGAAAAAGCATGGGACCTGTTCCTTGAGAACATAATGATGGCCTGTCTAAGCCACCCAGGAATGGTGGGAGAAGAAGCTGGGGTACCCATCAGGAGAACATTTGGGATGAAATAAAATGCAATCAGTCTTTCTAGAAGAAGCAGTGGCTGAGAGACAGTTGCACAGCCTGAACCACATTGAATGAAGGGAAATTTACTTTTGATGAACCAGAGCCAGAGGGATGGAAAAACAAAATCCTGGCTAAGGATATAGGCCAAAAAGTAACTAAGAAGGAAGTCCTGTGCCTTAAAGTGACATTAACTCTAAAAATGCATTCAAGTACCTGAACTACAAAACTGTAGCTTATTTGTGCATCATTCAGCTGAAGACTGTCCTTCCTGCTGGAGGGTGGCTACTTTTGTTCCCCATAGTCCCTGTGCATGTTGTAAAGGTAGTCACCGCTCTAAGCTCGCTCTGTGATTATAGCCCTTATGGACTATAATCACACATTTAGTTTACTAATTTGCATTGAGAATGTAGTCTATCACAGGAGTGAGCTTGGAGTGGTGGCTACTTTACAACACACACAGGGACCATGGGGAACAAAAGTAGCCTCCCTCCAGAAGGAAGAACAGTGTCTGCAGGAATTCAGAGATGATTTGAGGATCTACAGCTGAATGATTCACAATTAAGCTACAGTTTTGTTAATAGTTCAGGTGCTTGAATGCATTTTTAAAATGCAACTCCTTAGTTTAGTGCCACTTTAACACCACCTTGTCCCTGTGCAAGTTACTTGCATGATAAGGCTGTCAGTTCAGACACTTGCCCTGCAAAACTGAAGGTTTCAAGGAAAATCACCTTATGGTGAGAGTACAAAGAGGAATGTATCTAATGGGTTCAAACTGAGCTTTCTGAAATGCAGAGAGAATCAAGTGCAGATCCCAAAGAGTCACTAAGGAATGGAGGGGGGAGCCACATGGGAGACCCTCTGTACAAAGGTCTAAATTCAAGAGAGTGAATGGACACCTGACCCTTGATAGTGATGAGAGATAAAGGCTGTGTATTAACTGTATGTCAGAGACATTTTGTGTAGCTGCAGAAAGGAGAGGATTCTTCCCATCAAGATGCTCCTGGGGAAGAAAACCTGAGACTTACACCAAGGGAAGTAGGTCTTCTACGTCCAATGATAGTCTTTGCAAGAAGTAGACTTCCTAGCTTCAAGCATCTCGGGAAACACAAACTTAGAGATGACTCTTCACCTGAGCCTGCTTGGAGCAATTTGGCAGAAGTGAAATACCAGACTTTGCAGGTGGCTTGGGAGCCAAGCTTGGGGGTCTTGACATTAAAATTGTGGGAGTGAAAAAACAAGAAGGATGCTTATTGACAGAGAGGGAGATGACTTAGCAGTAGCATCCTTGATATTGTTATCAAGAGCTGGTCCAAAGAGACGTCCCTCAGACGCATCATATACTTCTTGCACAAAGGTTCCTTAGTCCAGCACTTTAGCTAAAGTGCCCTATGCATATGCACCAACATGGGGCACATACAAGAGATTAGATGGGAGACTTTCAGCAAACTTTCACAAATACAGTCCTCTGCTCCATTAGTTCAATACTAGGATCAGTTGTAGAGCAGGGCCTGCCAGCAAGAACAGAGTTCTGGAAAGTGCTCCAAACCGCTTATCAGTTGGAGCCTTACAAAGACAGGTGCATCCTCCACTGGTATAGCAAGCGCTTTGTTAAGGTGGGAAACGTTCTGCTCCACACTGGGAATGGACAATTTCTGAATAAAATCCTCACAAAACTGATACAATGCCAGTGAGCACTTGGGGGAATCAAACAACCTACAAAGTTTCTTCAACTCTCCACAAAGAAGAAGTTGGTGAAAAAAACAAGTCTTTGAGGCCTAAGGAGTTGTAATTGACCCAAGACAAGAAACAGTACTCATAAAAGCAACAGGCTGATCCGCTAGTTTCAGAGGCACTGGACACTATCACTAAGACCCAAAACATCTCCTTTTATTTCTTGAGTAATAGCAAAAGACTGCAACTATTCAGGGATACGCTCATCAGTCAAGGACTTGAGTGTCTCAGAATAAAAGTATCTGCAGCCCATGGCTCAGAAGCAGCAAAGGCCTAGAAGAGTGCCTGTTGCCCCTGTGCTCCAAGTCAGCAGATAACTGGACCTGGAAAGAGCTCCACAGCTACCATTTACCAGACTGCAGTCTGAAAAGCAACCCCACATTGAACCCAGTAGCTAAAGCTCACGTTAGTACTATGCCAGCAACATCCAGACCAGCGGAGTCAAGAGCAGGCTAAGGATGACTATGACAGAAAGCTGCCGTTAAGAAGGAAACCTCCAGCAGCCAAAAACAAGCTGTTAAAATTATAGGTTAGGTTTTACAGCAGCAGAAATACGGAAAAGGTGTTCATCCCCCTAGAACACTAGCAAAAAAACAGAGGCATGCTGGTAATAGGAAGGATTATCCTGGGCTGGCTTACAGCTCGTCAGTGTCCCATTCCTCCTGTAGGCAGCAGTATAACCTGAAGGATTAAGGCTTGCTGTTTCCCCTAATAGCCAGGTAAGTAAAATCCTTTCTGCCATTATTTTTAGAGAAATGTTAAATTCAAGTGGTTGTTAAGTTCACACAATGACTGCAAACCAAATGATATCTGCTACGGTTCCACGTGCAAACAACTGAAATAATGTTACAAAATATTATGTATTTTATGTATGTACTAATCTCATTTAAAACAGTTTGTTGAAATATAAGCATTACAACAATACATAAATATCAAATGTTCATCAAATCTAAAAAAAAAATCTGCAATGTACTGCCGATGTAATCCCTTTTGTGAATGTTACCTGCGCTTTTGAGTTGCTTTATCTCAGATTAACCCACAACAATGTAATAAGCTTTGTCAAACCATTAAATCATTTTAAGTGATTGAAATACCTTTTTGACCACTGTTTCCTGTGCTTGTAGTAATTTAGCCTGAATTGTGACAACTGGCATTTGCCTTCCAAAAGTCATATCTATTTTGTATACTGAAATCAGGTAATGATTGACTGGGGAGGCCTTGAATACAAAATGGACTAAAGCAAAGTGTACGAGCTACCCACAACAATTGATCAGATTTCTGGTCTTATTTTATCTGCACAAAAAAAAATAAGACATCTGGAATTTGGTTCCTGTGGGTAACCGAACATGCCAAGCCAGAGTCTGTCAGCAGTAGACTGGGTACTATATATTCCAAGCATCCAATCAGCTTCAGTTGAACCCACCTCCTTTTTCTGGGGAAAAACAGCCGTTCTAGCAACAGTTCCACTGATATTGGACTTGCAGATACATGGCTTTTTGCATGTTTTTCGGTGAAGATGCCCCAACATTTGTATTCTTGGAATAAAGTTCTCAAACGTTTGAATTGTAAATAGAACTGTGTGCATACATGAACAAAAAAATCCAGCGACTAACTGGCAGAACGATGGCTTTGTGGTTAGAACAGTGACCCGACAGTGCTTAAATCCAGATTAGATTTACACCAGCAACACCATCTACATGGAGACTTTACATTGCCCCTGTACATGTTGTGCCTGTGAGGGTAGAATGTTTTTTTTCCACAGTCCAAAGACATGTAAGGTAAAGACAAGCCTTTTAAAGCAACCTGTACTTTCCCCATGTAGAGCAAGCCAACTGGTTTGCATTAACACCACCATCAACAAAATTCCCCTTTCCTTTCCTACCGCCGCCTATCTGTTCGGCTGCCATAAGCAAAGAATACACCTGGCACTTTAGGGTATGTACAAGCAAATGACTCAGCACTTACATAGTCTGATAGTCTTCAGACACAAGACTAGAAACTAAGAGCTTACATTAGGCTTCCTTCCTCACTCCCAGCAGCTGAACAGAGTAGGTGTAGGGAGATGGGAAAGTGAGAATACAGGTGAAACTCGAATAATTCGAATATCGTGCAAAGTTCATTTATTTCACTAATGCAACTTAAAAGGTGAAACTAATATATGAGATAGACTCATTACATGCAAAGCAAGATAATTCAAGCCGTGATTTGTCATAATTGTGATGATTATGGCTTACAGCTCATGAAAACGCCAAGAACCCCAAATCCACAACCTCAAAAAAGTAGATTATTACATGCAATCAATAAAACAAGGATTGTACATAGAACAATATTGGACCTCTGAAAAGTACAAGCATGCATATGTACTCAGTACTTGGTTTGGGCCCCTTTTGCAGCACTTACTGCAATTACTTTTGCACAATATTCTAATTATTCGAGTTTCAGCTGTATGTTGCTGAGGAAGGCAGCTTAGGCAAAGCACAGGCTCATTTTAAAGTGGACATCCAGGCAAGTTTTTATATGCATATCTGAAACAAATAGGTAGAGTCTTATTTACCAAAAGATTTGTAAATCTGTTCAGCTAGTTCTGAGGTTCAAGCACCTTTGCCATACTGCAAAGCCAAGCAGATGACACCTGTGGTTGAGCAAGAGAGCTTCCTGCGTTACCTTTCACCTAGATCCTGCTTAATTAACAATTAATCAGGACTATTAGTTCTGCCCAGTAAGAAAGGAGGAGGTCCAGGGAGACTAATCCAGGACCAGGAAACCCTATGGTGAACTGAACCTGGCTATAAAGGGTGGTATAGGTGTGTGAAACATAAGAATGGCTGAACAAGAGAGTGAAAACCTTGTTTTATCCTGTTATGTGATTTATGTGATCAATACAGACTTTTAAAGTGGACACTTTGGTGTATACCACCTATTTCGTCCAATGGCATTGGTGTAATTAATAATTTGCTTAAAGTTTCCACTTAAATGTACTGAAATAAATACATGTGAGCTGCTTCTTCCACGAAAGTATTTGTTCGTCATCACATTAAGGTAATCCCTCTGATCTCATTTCCTCTAAGCCTAAGGGATCTCTCTGGGCCTAAAAACATCTTAGGGCAAAGACAGGCATTGTGTTCCTACACAGGTGGTCATCAGAATCTTATTGACTTTAATTTGGCTTGCAGCTGCATGCGTTTTTATGCAAAATGCAGCATTTGACCAGTACACCCATTGACATGAACCCTTCATTGACAGCATTGAGCAGTGCAGTTGAATCTGGTTATGGTACTAACCTCTCCCTCTCTCAGTCTTATATCTGCTATGTAAGGATTATGAAAAGCAAATATAAATAAAGATTCTGGGTGCTTACAATGGCTGCATTTAAAATTGCATTTGATAGTATTTAAATGAGTACCTGGCTGGAGTAAAAGATTAAAATGAAGAACCTGCTACAACTGTACATACTGTATATGAATAAACATTTTTTATTTATAAATGTGGTGTTTCCTAGAAATACAATTACATGGGAGTCCCTGACTAAGACGTTCAAATGGCTTAAAGCTGAATTCCAGGCAAACAAGTAAATACACCATTGGGAGCGGTTTTACTTGCCAAATGATTTGTATTTCTGTGCACGCAGTCCTGAGATTTACACAGCTTTGCCAGACAGCAGAAACAGGCTGGAGACCTGATTTTTCTCTGCTGTAGGTAAGTAAACACAGCCTATTCTCCTTCCTGCCTGTAACTGGACAGTGAAAGAGTAGAAGCAGACTGATTAGGTCATCTCTCTGCTCTCACCCTGTCAGCACACATGACTGCAGGACAACCTGTTTGGCCCTCAGTGCTACCCCTTTCTTTCCCAGCCGGAGTGCTGCTATAGAGGTGATTACAGGGAAGCCCAAAATCAAGTAAAATTCTGTTATCTAATGTTTTTAGCAAATTGCATTCACTGTTTTTGTTTGTTTTTTTAATATCTGCCTGGAGTTCTGCTTTAGGTCTCTTGAGAACTGTCTTGTTTGGTGTGTGTTGAGGCAACTTTAACATCAAACTTCAATGTTCAGCAACACAGATATCTGCCTTAGCGGGAGGAGGGCCGGCAGCAGCCTCAGGTGGAAAGGGTTAATGATTATACTCACTGAGAGGAGTGTGCAGTGCTACGTGTTCCTGGTACGGAGTGTAATATTTGTACTGTTTGCCGCAGAACTCACACATATAATTACCGGTTTCTATGGAAGCAAAGAAAAACAAAAATGATAATTTTATATCGCCTTTTGTTCCTCGAGAAGATACCGATTCCTAGGTGGCACAGGAAGCAAATTAAGAAAAATCGATTCCTTTCTCTTTAAAAAAACATTTCAATCTTTCCAAAAGTCTTCTTTAACAGGTGTTCAACCATTATATCATAAGTGGCCATCTTCTGGCTGCACTATTCGCATTCTAGGATAGTTTGAAGAAATACCATTGTAAACAGATAGTGGCTACAGAAAACGCCACTTCTGTGTTTTGTGTCAATTCCAGAACCTGCAGAGACAAATCAGTAAAGACCTATTTCCTAACCGAGCATAGTACTGGGCTTATTCAATCATTTCTGGGAGAAGCAAAGCACTTGGTGCAAATGGCAGGAATGCATAGCAATTAGTACTCGCATAACGGAAACTACATCAGATAAACTCTGACCAGGCTGCCATGGCTAAAGCGCTCTGCATTTTGCTCCTTGCAGTGTTTTGCTGAATAATAGTAGCCCATAAAAAAGACCAAGAGGTCTTTTAAAGCTCAGCTGAAGTATCACAACATTTTCTCTTCTTATAGTCATGTACCCCACGCGCATGTTATCATATGAGACTGTTTTTTGCTTAGAAAAAATTACACATATATTTTTTTCTCAGGGGAAATACCTTTTCCTGCTCTCTCCCCAAAGCTCTGTGATGGCAGAGCTGAGTAACAGCTACACCCTTAGGGCTCATTTACACTGGAATAGGCCCACATGTACAGCTCCGTGCTGCATGCAGGGACGTACCGAGCAGCTCCCGGGAAGGACGGGTGCTGCGTGTGATTAGTACGCAGCCCCCGTCCTTCTCTATGGGACTACGCGGTCGTACGCCCCCCTACGCTCACCTCAAGTGCAGGTCTGTAGGGGTGCGTGTTTCCTGGCTCGGACGCAGACAGGATCCTTCCCGTCAGCGTATGAGTACGCTCACCCGCATGGATGTGCAGGGCGGGTGAGCGTACGGGCGCGTAGTCCCATAAAGAAGGACGGGGGCTGCGTAGTAATCACACGCAGCACCTGTCCTTCCCGGGAGCTGCTCGGTACAGCCCTGCACACGCGGGCCAATTCCAGTGTGAATGAGCGCTTAGGGCCCACTCGCACGAGATACTTTTCATTTCATTCTACAGGCACAGCGGGGTGCAAGTATGATGTACTGCGAATAATCCTGCTGCGCTGAAAAAAAAAGTAAGCCATGCCTTACTTTTATTCAGTGCACACAACCATGTTCCTACCGCAACATGGTGGTGTAAAAGGGCACTATCTGTTACAAGGCACATTGCCTTTTCTTGCATTGGGGCTGCTCTAAAACCAACCAGCGCAGCTCCAACACACAGATGGTGTGAATGGACCTTTAATCACAATATTTGTACTGCAGAGAAGGTGTGTCAGACCAGGTCTGTTACACAATGCTGATTACTGACTGCAGTGTGATTCACTCTGGTACCTATTGGATTGTACTGTCATATTTAGACTCGCTGCACAACTACTGTAATAGGATAGTGGAAAGAAGACTAGGAAATTCAAGGTTGGTACAACATCTATCTTAGGGCTGGACAAATCCCAGGATCCAGGTAGCCAATGCTCCCTAAAAATAATAGCTGGTGCCCGACTTTTAAGGTTCTCTCTAGGGATGAACAGATACTAGTATCGGTGCCAATACCGGAACTTCCAGTCAGAGGGAGAGTTCCTGAGAACGTGGAGCCGGCTTCCTGGCAGGTAATGACTTGCCACCTGGCTTCTCGATTGGCTGGGAAGCCGGCACCAGCTCCATGCTGATTGGCTGGGAAGCTGGGCTTCCCGGTCAATCAGCATGGAGCCGGCCAAACAGCATGGTGCCGGCTTCCCGGCCAATCAGGAAGACAGATGGTGGATAATAACTGATTGGCTAGGAAGCTGGCTTCCCAGCCAATCAGCATTAAGCCGGGCCAAACAGCATGGAGCCAGCTTCCCGCCCAATCAGGAGGGCAGGCGGCCGGTAATGACCCATCTCCCGGCTTCCTAATTGGCCAGGAAACCGGCTTCCCGGCCAATCAGCATCGATCCGGCCATACAGCAGTTTCGATGCTGATTGGCCTGGAAGCTGGCTTCCCAGCCAATCAGCATGGAGCCGGCATCCCGGGCAATCAATAAGCCTGGTGGCGGGTAATGACATGCCAACTGCCTACCTGATTGCCCGGGAAGCCGCCTCCATGTTAGCGGAAGAACCGGTATCGGTAAGTACTGAAAGATAAATATTAGTACTCATACTCGATACTGAAAAGCCGGTATCGGTGCATCCCTAGTTCTCTCTAGTGGCTGTCCATAGAGCTGGCTCCTAGAAAAAATCCTGCTGGCTCCTGGATTGGACAGATTGACTCCTGAATTCCATATTAATTTGTCTAACCCTGATCTATCTGATTGCATATCTATTTCTGTCACTTCAAATAGGTCTTTAAGTGTCAACATGGTCCACCTAATTCTTGAGGACCTACAAACCTCTGCATGGCCGGCCACCAGGCTACATAGCTTGATGATGAGGGGATAAAGGGGGCGGTAACTTTCAAACTACTGCTTTCTTTCACTGGTTTCATGCAAGCTGTATATTTTGATCTAGTATAATTTAACAATATGGTAATTTTTAGGTCTGGTTGCAGCAGAGAGCAAGGTATACAGCATCTGCCTTCAGGCTCTCTCTGACCTTCTTAATACCTTCTAGCAAAGAAACTCCTCCATTTCACAGGCCTAAAGCACATATTCACCTTTCCCTTGTCTCCCGTCTCCTGGCCGATGATCGAGTGGTGGTGGAGTAAAAGAAAGGTGTACTGCTGGGGAGTGGAGGGGGGAGCAAAACTACCATATTGCTATGCCCAGCATGAGCAAACTATTCAATATCTCCACACCTTTCCTACACTGACTACATGAGAGAGCAATATCATATAGGGGCAAGGTCTAAAAGTTTCTCAAATCAATTTGAAAATGCACCTTTTTTTGGCAAACATGTTTTTTGAAATTTCTGTAACTTGCATGAAACTAGTAAATATACTAAATACAATTTCAAACATATTAGGACTGGTAAAGCCAAATCAGAACATTGAATTCAGATTTCTCACAGCATGGTAGAGTAAGCCATAGCTCAGGGGTAGACAACCTTAGCACTCCAGCTGTTGTGGAACTACGGACCCCACAACGCATTACAAGGCTCTGACAGCCACAGGCATGACTCCCAGAGGCAGAGGCATGATGGAATTTTTAGCTTCATCACAGCTGGGGTGTTGAGGTTGCTTACCCCTTACATAACCCCTTGCCCTCCTTACCATCTTGTCTTGAATTGTATTGTAATGTCTTCCTTATATTGTAAAGTGCTGCACAAACTGTTGGCGCTAAATACTATGTAATAATAATAATAATAACCAATGTAATAAAAAATGATTAATTTGCAGTTTAGGAACACAAAGCACTACAATTGGGCAACAAGGACACAATTTAAATCCGGCAGACTAGGCCCAGCTTCACAGGTTCCTTCTATACACTAGTGATTAGCCCTATACTATGGTCTTACTGCATCTCTTCTTTGTCTATCCAGTTATGTAAAATGAAAGCATAATAACATTTAAAATAATAATACTCATATAATATTTAAACAAAAAAATTTGAGTACAGTATTTTTTTTTTACAGTGAGTCAGCCTATTGTGGTGTAGGGAACCACATTGTGCATTAAAAGAATAGTCACAATAATGCAGCTTATCCGCTATTATTATTATTAGGTTTTATTGTCATTGTTAAAGAATGAGGCAGCTATCCATCGCATGTCTCAATAACATCAGGTATCTATTTTAATAGATAATTGGAAAATTAAAGTGCATGTCTGGGCAGAATAAAAACAAAATATTCAGTACAACGCCCCAAGTTTTATCCCTTTACTAAAAAAAAAAAAAAGCACAAAAAAAGACCTTTTGATCATGCCAGAAATAATCCAGTGTGCTCGTAACATCCTGTTTGAGTGAACAGTTCTGTCTCTGCTGCACTGTAATTCCAAGCAGTGCCATCAGCCCTGCCTGAGTTCCTTTCTGTAGACTATAGAACCCTAGTACCCATCGTTATTGAGGTGAGGAGAGAGGGAAGCATTCCGTCAACAAAGAATAAGTGGGCACGGCTGATAAGACTGCTTGAGGGCACTGTGTGGTATTGATCTATGGGAAGTTCACTGGTTTTCTGGCAGAACACACACTTGTTTGTAATTGCATCATTTTTAAAGGGATAAATAGGGGAAATGTTCATATATTTCAGAGATGTACTAAATATATTTCTTTATTATTATTTGCTCAGATATACACTTTAAGCTGCAGACTACCAGCGTCCCTGTCAGTTAACCTAATCTACTGGTTTAGAATGGCCATGCAGTTATTCTTGGTGATCAAACTAGGGGGCCACTGTAAGCGTACACGCTATAAACCAAGAACTCCTCCATACAAGGTGCGTTGCGCTTCATCAATGGTGGCTCAACACAAGGACGAATAGAAAAAAAAAGGTTTTCTATGTGTTCTGTTCACACCATACAGATGTTGCAGCATGTCTGCATTTTTTTGCAATGCACCGCAAAACGTGTTGCAATACATATAAGCTCGTCACAACATGTTGTATACACAGTTGAATGAAATGTCCTTTTGCGAACATCCAATAAGGTTAAAAAAAACTGTAAACAATGCAATGCTTTCTTATAAGGCACACTTGTTGTATGGACCATAATGCGTGGCCACTGGTGTGAATGAACGCTTACTGAAATTTGCAGGTATGCTGCCATTACTGCCATGATTGCTAAGTCTTCGGCCTAGGTGTAGAATTATTATGTTCACATGAAACAGTTAAAGAACTACTCCAAAATGTTTTTAAAATGCGAGATAGCCCCACTGCAAGGGTTAAAGAGAGGAACTTTACCCATATCTTCAAAATAACAAACACACCTTTAGAAATATTTAGTAATGACAACTTACAAACCCATACTTCCAGATAACGGCAGGCTTTTAATTCTTTGTATATCTTATCTTTCTTTTCTTCCTCAGTCTTCTGAAAGTGGGCAGGTTACTAGATCTTCCTTTACTTCCTGGAACTCTGGCACATGCGACCATGCACATCTTCTCAGGGGAGGAAAATGCATTTTTCTGAGATCTCATGAGATTACAGATGAGATTTCCCAGCAATATTCTGCTGATGTAACCTCCCAGGATGCAATGCTTGGGCACAATGACATAATTTGTGCCAAAGTGGACCAGGAAGTGGAAAAAAAGAAATTGAAAGTAAACTAAAAATATGTTTGTATAGATAATGAATGAGAGATGATTTCATATCAGCATACAGATCTGTATGCGGATGTGATTTTTAGTCAAAGGGGGTAAAGGTTTACTTTAAGTGCTCACTGTGGTCTAGGGGACGCAATAGAGAAGAAATACTTACCTGATCCTGGGTACTACGCTGTGGCAGTGACCGCTCACCTCTCTCCCCTCCAGCAATTCCCCACTTGTCTGTGTATTATACCACAAATCCCCAGTAAAAAAAAACGCACCATTTTTTTGCCAACCAGGTTATCAACAGCCAGAAGCTAGCGCTATTTTAAGGAGTGGAAATCTTGTCTGTTCATATTCCTGAATGATTTTTTTATATGCACACAAACACACAGACAAAGAAAAATCACAATGTCAAATGATTTATCATGTATGCATCAAATTCAGCTGATCCGTGCAATAAAACCTTTAGCAAATTTAAAAAAGTACAAAATCACGTGTTATGCTTCCTGAACTTATTTTATATTTTGCTACCAAAAAAATAGCAAATGCATAATTCAGTCAACATACAAATGTGTAAGGTGGGCAAGCTCCGAGCTACAGACACACACATAACTATAAGTACACATATATTTTAAAGGTTTATCTATCCATCTACCTAGCTAATGGTCTATATATCTTTAGCCACATAATACGTCCCTCTAAAGTAGGTTTGTCCTTACGTATATCGATTTTAAATATTTTTCAATGTATTTTAAATATAATAAAATTGCGCTCTAAAATTCAAAAAGACAAAAAAGAAAAACAAAAGCAAATACAAATGAGGAAATAGTGGGAAATATACAGCAGGAATCCCACTTTTGTGAAACATACTTGGACCAAGTTTGACAAATGGTTCAAGGTCCTCTTCTTTTCCGTCTCCTGACGTAACCATCATATGGATATAGGTGTCTAAAAAAACAGAACGAAAAAAAAAGAAAAAAGAAAAAAAAAAAAGAAAAAGTGCATAAAATGTGCCAAATATGTTCTGGAAAAAACAGGATATGAAAACATGAAAAAAAGAAAATAAATGAAAAATGTAAAGAGAACAGACTATCGCCAATGACAGGTTGGTCCCCTAACCATGGCTGAATGAGACCTTAATTGTTAAAGTGACACCCTGACCCACCTACCTTCCACCTCAGTTTTACAGATGTTGGAAAGAATGGTTCAAAAATATAAGCCCAAGGGTGCTTGGAATTTTAGAAATCTAGTTTAACATTCCTGGGTCACTGTGTGAGATGCCATTTTTGTAATCTAAGCCATATAAAAACAGATGGGGTAAACAGAAATCAATTCACCAATTACTAGTGATTCTTTTCACTGCTCCCAAACCTATACACAATCTCTTGCACCAAGGCCTGATTTATACTTTAAAGCAGTGAAGCCTGTGCTAAAATGTTGATACCTACTGAACAAATCAGAGATTAGCATTCATGTTCTAATCTGCAACAATGAAAAATGAATTCTGGTTTCAATGGGCAGCAGATTCAGTCTTCACAAACCAAGCCCCCTGGCTAACATTACCTCATCCATTCCACGAGCAATGCAACTTATAGCCACAAGATGGCAGTGGATGCTGAGATTGTCGGAATGCTGAGCCTTAAAGTGTATTTCCACTTCTGTAGTCAAAATTTAAAAACGACTTCTCACCTTTCTAGTTATGTATTTCTAGCTAAATATAGTCACATAATTCATAACAACATGTAGCTCCAACTGCCACCTGCAATGCACAGTCTCCAGGGACAGACGTGGGTCTCAAAATAAACAAAACTTAAATATGACTATAAAGGGGAGAGAGGTAGGTGGGATATTTTGACACACACACGTAAAGTACAGCTATTACAAACCTAAAAAGATAATCCTCAAAAAAACTATATTAAATTAAAATATTAAAACTATATAAACCTGCCAAGCCTTTATGTAAAGCCAGTCTCATGTAAGTGTACATTCATTTCAGGTTATACACACCTACTAAAAGGTTTTGGGAATACTATGAAAGGATATCAAGCACAACATTTTGTGTCAATTACCCCACAACTTTACTGTTAAGACCCACACACTATAGCAGTGATCAGAGGGTCAAGTTTATGGAACCAATTAGTGTCCCACTGACGTTTTAGGGTGACTAATGCCTCAACTGAATCTGATCATAGAACCCATTAAGTTTCACAAGGATTCTACAGAAATCTAAACTTGTGGGTTCGCCAATGTATTAAATAAAAAATGGGATGAGGTATTTCCGACTGTGACTAGGCAGGCTGGAAATCTAAAATGATTGTAAAAGCTGGTCACACATGTTCCAAACTCTTATAAGGCAACTCTGTGTACACTTTCACTGTTAAAATTGAGGCCTTTAAAAACTTCATCTTACTAAAAAAAAAACAATAAAGCTCACATTTTCAGGGTATGCCTAATGCTGATTGGTGGCTGAGACTCCAGTTCTTAGCATGGGCAGGTTGATACATAAGGCCCTTTACGTTTTGCAACAGTCAATCTAATCATAGCAGATGTGGCCAACTGGTGTTTCCATTGTAAGACTTAAACAGTCCATGGGCACACAAGACTAGAGTGGATCTCAATCACAACCCATCCAGAATATACTAAAACCTTCAGCCAAAGTGCACACATATAAGAATTATTAAAACCTTTGTCATTTGAAGAAGCCTCCTTGGAAAGATACTAGTTTCCAGAAAAAAAGATTTGATACTGTATATATGTATAAACTTGTCATCCTGAAGCTGTTTTCATACTGCAGAAAACACAAAGTGATGTGTGCCAGAGGAACATTCCAGAACTAAACTATACAGCTACAGGACTCCCTGAAAGATGGCCAGCGGTTCTTCATTCTGTGCAACAGGCCAAAAATCTTTCAACTTTATTTACCAATCTCCTCTCTGATAGCCATGTTTCTCTGCCAGTTTAGTAGCTAGTATTAGAATACAGAATGAGACTTTAATTGTAGCATAGGTACAAAAATGAAACTTCTGCTATCACTAGCAAGCCTCTGAAAAGTCATCGATCATATGCATCCCTTGTGAATAACACAATATTTAAAAGAAAATAGCCTTCGAAGCTACATTTGATATTAGAAGTGCTTTAGCATGGGAATATTTAAGCACAGCTGTTGCCTGCACACCACAGGTGGTCATTTTGTTCACTTAATTTAGAAGAACACAGCCTGTTTACTAGGACCTAGTTAACAGATAAGCTGTTTCAAGGTATTAGGACCTTTATGGGTCAAATCATACTTTATCGTCATAACAGGCTGCATTATAAAAATAATTTCCATTGATTTTGTATCTCAGTTATGTCATCAGTGCCTAAATGAACTGATGACCTAATCTTTAAGAATATCTTACTTTACTCTGTTGATTATGTTTGGTTACAACAACATTCTCATAATGGTTTGCATTATGTAGCCACAGATACCTGTGGTCCTTAATCAACAAAAAGGATGCCTTCCCAAAATGGATTCCTCTATAGTTTACCTACTGCATAAAAACAAACTGTTATCTAACTGTATTATGCATTACTGATGGCAATGGTTCAGAAGACACTAATAAGCATATATACCTCATATACATTTATATGTTGGTGCCTCTCTGAGTGTTAAGGTCTTGACTTCAGCCAAAACTTTTTCAAGTATTTTCTCAAGTGGGAAAGAGTTAGGATTTCTTTCAGGTTTTAAATACTGTTTGCAGCCAATGGAAGTTTTTCTTCTCTTCCTGTTCTGATACCTTAAGGTGAAGTGAGGATAAATCTCCCTTATGGGAACACAGACAGCAAAAAAATCCTGGCAAAGGTTCTGAACCGTCCTCAGTTTAGTAGAAAACTTGCATTTCTATATAATTTTTTAAAGGGACACAAGGTAAGTAGTTGTTCTGATACGACTGGGGGATATGCTGCCATCTTTTAGGAGGAATTGGACACTGGCAAACAAAAAAGTTGTCAGCCAGTTATAACCCCTCCAACATCCATTACCTACTTAGAAGACACTGATAAAGAGTCTACACCTCATATACCTGGTGCCTCACTGATTGAATGTTAACTTCAGGCCCAACTTCAGTCAAAATGTTTTTACTCGTATTTACTCGAGTAGCAAAGGACTTCTTTCAGGTTTTAAATGGGGAAAAAAAACAATTGGCCAGCCAGTTATTACCCCTCCTACAACCAGCATGCTTCAGTTTAATTCTAGTGTACAGGGAGGATGGATGTCTTTTCTCTTCTGAGAAAAGTTTTCCACCTTTTGTTTTTTCAATGAGCCTTTTTTTAAAGAGATTTAGTTTTTTGGCAATAAAGACTTTATCTACCTGCTGCTAAGCTCTGCATGCAGCTATCCATCAGCTAATCCTCAGAGCTGCCTTGGAGGCCATATCTGGACCCTGCTGGATCGAAGATTGCAGGGCTACCGGGAAATGTGAGCACTGTGTTAGTTAGGTACAGAGCCGTGTAACAGCCCTTCGTGTGCCCAGTTTTTCTTGACTCTTATATATGCCACATGTTGCTGAGTGTTGGGATCTACTACACTTTGGCATATTTTATTGTTGCCAATATGTCCCTATCCTGTTTGTTTAGAGGAAAGGCTTAATGTGCTAAAAAATTATTACTGCATCAGCTGAAGAGCAGTGCGGGCACCCTAGTACTGTTACTGGAGAAATCTCGCTGAAGTGTTAGTCTATGTAACAGCAATGCAAAACACACTTACTGTGGATGCATTTTGACAAATAACATCTTTTTAGCGCTTCGCTAGATAACTTGATTAAGGACGTTACTTGTGGTAAAAAGCAGTGGCGAGAGTACTAATTTACCTCAGGAGAACTCTAAACCTTCAAAGTTCGGCTCCTGCCTCTGAAGCCAGTTTCTTTAGTATCTCCCAGGCGTCTCACTTAAAGCCAAGCCTATGGGAGGGGCCAACTGCACTTCCACTGCAAACCTTGGGCCTTCAAATCCTCCAAGCCTGCAGATAAGGCCTCTTGAGCATGGAGGAATGTCCCCTTACTTATTAAAGTGAGGGGACATCTGTTGGCCTTGGCAGACAACTGGTCAGAAAGCAACTTGGATGCCTGGGTAAGCTCACTCCTAATTCATTATGTCCAACCTGCCTGTGTCCCTGCCCAGGCTAGCAGATCTTGTAGATCTTTTAAACCAAGGAGTCAATGCCATGGTCCCCCAGCAAAAGAGTTTCAGAGGTTTTACTCTAACCTTTTTACTGTTTCAAAACCAAAAGAGGGCATTCACCTCATCTTAGACCTGGAGACTTTAAATGTCTTCATTCAAACTCACAAGGAATCCATCAAGTCTAGTCTAGTCATAGACGTTAAGGATAAGTACTTGCATTTCCTATTTTTTCCAGCACACTTTCATTTTGCTGTGGACACTTAACACTAGCCCTTCCATTTGGCCCATTGTTTGCATCATGTGTATTCACTAAGGTTCTAGCCCTGGTGCTGGTCTTATGACACTTTTAAGGTATTCCCATAGTTACATAACTAGACAATCTACTATTAAAGGAACAGTCAGCTTAAACTGAATGTAAACGTAAGTGGACAATCCAGACCTTTATAAGGTTCAGCGATGGACTCTATAGTCAAGGAACCGACCAACTCTATGATTCTGCATAAGAGTTCTGGTCTTGATGGTAGCCGTCTTTGAAGCAGTCTCATTTGCTCAGTTCCACTTCAAAGCAACATTCTGTCATCGTGGAACAAATTGGTTCAGTCTCTAGATGAACCAATTCTTCTGACAACAAAAACTAGGTTGTCTCTAACCTAGTGGCTCAGGAAACCAGCTCTGGACTTGAGAAAATCCTTCCTACCACTGTCATTGAAGGTCACAGCAGATCCAATTTTGGACTGGAGATTCTGGAACTACATGCAATGTTGCTATTCTTGCAATGCTGTTCACCCAGACTTAAAACTCATGTGATCAGGACTCGGTTGGACAATGCCATAGCAGTGGTGCACATCAACCATCAGGAAGGAACCAGAAGTTTGGCTACAGCAGAAAAAGGATTATAGAATGGAGAGAACTCCATGTTCCAAACTTTCATCCCAGGAAATACTCCATGGGATGAATTCTGACCTTTTAACAATTAGGTCTGGATCAGCATTTGTCCTTGAATACCTTAAACAGTCAAATCTTCGCCCTTGAGATCTTATTCCAAAGGCCACTAGACTCTTGTTTTTGTTCTTTGCTAAAGACTTCTGTATAGGGCTCCTCTAAAGTGGCACTTCCTGTTCAACCTCCTGTGACACCGTGGGATCTAATTTGGCTCTGTTAGCGCTTCAAAGACTGCCCATTATACCTGGTATATTCCCCTTTCCACTCTTACTCACGAGGTTGTGTTCTTGGTCACTATCACCTCTGTAAGATGTATATCTGAGCTGTAGGGATGCAACTAACGATTATTTTCATAATCGATTAGGTAGCTGATTATTTTTTGTGATTAATCAGATACAAAAAATATACACATTTTTAATTCAATATTATTAATTCCTAATAAATATTAGTAATTATTTATTAAATGTTATTTAAGTAATAAATATTATTTATTAAATCTGATTAATTATTTAAATGTTGATTTGATGCATATACAGTAAATGTATTCTTTCTACATACAGTAGCCATCATCCCTGGCATATGTCACAGAAAGAACTCCTCTCACCAGGAGCTTTTGTTTGGGGCAATCCGATTAGCTGCGCGCTTTAATCCGTGCCCTGACACGAGGTATCATACGTGTGAGCTGACTGGCTAGAGATGATATTTTTCAAGTCGCAACACTTTTGATACGGTACCACACAAACGCTTGCTACACAAGCTGAGGGCACTTGCCTAGCTGAGCATGGGAGAGGATATTGCTAGACACACTGCCCATGAAGCTCTGCGCAACGCCGCTTCCCTCTGCTGTACACGGCTCCGTGTGCAGTGTGTCACGGGCTTCCCAGGCTTAATTATGGTCACTGCTCACTAACATGCTTGCGAGTGAGGGGGAGGGTGTGAGGAGCTGAAAAGCAGCCCAACTAATCGATAATAAAAATCGCTGACGATTTTCATTATTGATTATTATTGACTTTTTTGATTAGTTGTTTCAGCCCTACTGAGCTGACCACGTTATCCTGTAAAGAGCACTTTTTAGTTTTGCACATAGATACGGTAGTATTGAGGCCTAGAGCTTCCTTTCTTCTCATCTTTCTGTCCAGCTCCAGTACATCATAAGGCACTTTCCCTTCACTGCCTTGATGTAGTTCGTGCTGTGTGGGTTCATTGGTTTCATTGGAAAGACTGACTCTCTTTTTATCATTCTTGATGGTGCTCATAAAGGGAAGCCAGGGGGGCGTGGTCTGCACCACGAGACTGATGGCAGCCTGAGTTGAGAGCTCCGGCCAACAGGGACCCACACGAAGCTACTTTAGCCCCTTTTTTGGACTAATATGAAGATCGGGCAGCTGGACTATCAATCCAGGGTCCGGACACCCTCGAAATCTCGAACGAATAAGCACGTTCCGGACATTTTCAGGCCCCAGAAAGCGGACGCTGGGGTATCGGGTTCAACCAATATGGCGCTCGCCCAGACTAGGCTTGAGAAGGGTAAGACGCCGCGAAAGGCCGAGGAGACTGCACCCACCTCTCAGATACCCTCTTACCTACAAGACCTCCCGACTAAAGCGGAGCTATCCTCAATGGCCTCGGGCATCAAGGCGGCCACGGAGCTGAGACGGGACATCCAAGATGTTGGACAGCGCATGACGGCAGTGGAGTCGGCAGGCCGCGGGAGAGACATGGCGATCCGCCAGCTCCAAGGTCAGGGCGATGCCACAGCACGTAACCTGATCGACATGCGGAGGCATCTGGAAGATCTCGATAACAGGGGGCGCAGGGCCAACATTCGACTCAGGGGGATCCCTGAGACAATCCTGCCTAATGCTATCCCAGATGCACTGAGACACATCTTTAATGATTTACTGGAACGCCCGGCAGAATCCCCCATAGAACTTGTTAGAGCTCACAGGGCCTTGAGACCCAGAGCCGCAGCCGAGGATATACCCAGGGATGTCATATGCTGCTTGCTCAGCTTCCCTCTGAAAGAGGAGATCCTTCAGAAGGCCAGAACCAGGGAAGCGGTTCTGATTGAGGGATGTTCTGTTACGCTGTTCCAGGACTTATCGGTGATTACGCTGCAGCAACGCAGGGCCTTGCGCCCCCTTCTAGCCTGCCTACGTGACAAGGGCATCATCTACCGTTGGTGTTTCCCGTTCTGCCTCGTGGCAACCTATAGGGGGCAGACGGCTACGATCCGCCTACCTGAGGATATACCAGAATTCTGCAGCCGCTTGGAAATACCAGAGGTCCAGATCCCTGACTGGTATGCGGACCTCAGGCGGGCACCGGAAGCCATGGAGGGACCTGACCAGGTGGATTGGGCGACGCCGCCCCGTCTACGGCAGGGGGAGCCCGGAGGAGCTGGGATGCGCCTGCGGAGGCAACGGAAACAGCGTAAGGGCAGAGAAGAAGAAGCCTCCCGTCCCATACCAGCGGATGCCAGTAATCTTATCTCCCGGTCGCCATAGAGGGATATGCGGTCTGCCTCCGACCCATAGGTCAAGAATGGACACCCACAGCCCCATTTTTTCCTTTTTTCTACACTCACTTGACGTTTTTGATGTTGCAAGCAGCCAGTTTGGAGCTGCGCGAAGGTATGAAACATCTGACCTCTCATGAGGGACCTCTGACCCCACTGATAGATAACAAAGCATTCCCACCAGGTTCTACAGAGGAGTTTATACGCCAATGGCAACCCCAGGAATCGCTGAGAGCACACACTTTTTTCAAACACCAGAAATTCCTAGACAGAATAGACCTACAGGAGATGTCCAGGTGTGGGCGGGTACCCTGGTGGTCGTACTTGCAAGTACGGCACTACCTATCTGCAATATTGTGTGCAGCTAACACTGGGGCGGATTGTACCATTTGCTGGAGACGTCGTTTTTTTTTCTTTTGTTGTACCGTTGTGTCCTGTATATCTTTGTGCAAAAAAACAATAAAATACAAATTTTTAATGGAAAAAAATAAATAAAGGGAAGCCAGCTTCTCGTTCCCCTATTTCTTAGTAGTTCCGACAGATCATTATTCAGGCTCATGGTCTTAAGGACAAAGTTCCAACTTTTCCTGTCAAGGGGCACTCTACTAGTTCAGTGAGAGCCTCTTGGGCTGTTATGCATCATGCCACTATCCCTAGATTTGCAAGGCTACCAGCTACTCCTGTTTTCATAGTTTTACCAGGTGGATGTTCAGAAGTCATCTGATACAAGCTTCAGATGTAAGATCCTTCACATTGTTCTTTCAGTTGCAAGCAGTTCTTAGTTTAATTCTGTTTTGTGTTAGCATTTTGCTTGTTGTGTTGCCAACCCCCTTAGTTGGGCTGCTTTTGAACTTCCCAGTCGTATCAGAATAGCTACTGCTCCGGTTTCCCTTAAACTGTATTTACATTTTTGCAACCACAATGGATTAACACCTTTTTAAAATTTGATACATGTTCCTATTTACATAGCGGAATTGTCACTTTCTCTATTTCTGAAATCTCCAAAATTTAGGTATTTTCATTTCTGTAATTTCAAAAGAGGGGGCTTCAGCTGGGTAAAGGCAGATAATGCTTAACAAAATTCACCCTGTCTGTACTGTGTTGGCTGATTTCATTTTTCAGTTATAAACTAAATTTGAACACTGTCTGTCCTAACCAAGGGTTGAAGATCTTGGGACAGACTCACTTACTAACCGTTCAGAATAATCTTGCAGTTTGACCAAAGGCCTCCTCCACAGAACCAGCTAAAACTTAAAAAAGTGGAACTACACTTTAGCGAAAGATGAAGAAAACAGTATTTTTGCACTTACTGTAATACAGGTCTCACCCTTCTGTTTTTTGTCTACTCCTAAATACTGCTGTTTCTACAAAACTGAGGCATGCTGGGAGTGGCAGGAGTAATCCCTATCTAGCCGATGGGGTTTTGTTTGCCAGTGTCTAATTCCTCCTAAATGTGGCAGTAGAATTATATCAGATTATATCAGAATAACTACGGATTCTGTGTCCCTTAATTAACTTTATGGTAAGTTAAACAAAACATCATGTTTTATTGCTGTTTGTGTTCCCATTGGTGTGTTCCCATTGGGGTTCTGCCCCTTTGGAGATGGGACCAGACCTTGTCATGGGACTAGGTCTCTGACAGTGGCCCCTGGGGGGAATCCTGGACAGTCTTCACCCTCCCAGTGGACATACCCCCTATGGGGTCTTCAGAGACTGAGCTAAACCGGCAGGTGGACCATGGCTTTGGACATGCATAGCACCCTGTGGCTATATGCCAACATGAGCAATCCATTGAGAATCAAGTACTTGCAGCAACTACAGGCTGACCTTGCATAGTGTTTCTGGCAGGGTCTGGGTACAGTCCCCGGGGTTTAGCAAAGGAGTGCCAGCCTGCAAGCTACTAACTTGTTCCTTGATTATAAGGAAAAATTCCTATGAAAAAAATCCAAAATGTAAAGGAAAAAAGGTTGGTTTCTCTCAAAGCAGACAGAAAATGTGCATCGCCTAAGGACACTAGCAAAAACTGAGGCTTGCTGAGAGTGGGAGGGGATTATACTGGGCTGTCGTTACAGCTTTGCTTTACCAGTGTCCAACCTCCTGAAGGTGGTAGTATAATCCAGGGCTCTAAGAATACCATTCTATATCCTGTGATGCAAGTTTAAGATATCCCCTCATTGTTACTGTATCTAAAGGTGGCCACACACTTATCAATATGATCTTTCAGTGCAACTTAACTGATCCTACTGAATAAGAATCAAACCATTCGATTAATTTAGTGAGAAATTAATTAACTTCAAGTCTTCCAAAACATGGCAGAATTTTAATTGATCATTTCTAATCAGTCTAACAAATATTTGTATGCGAACCGAAAACTGATCATAGATCAGATAAATTAAATAATAATTTTTAATACATCGTTTACATTTATAACCGATAGATGCTTTATCGATCAATATTTTTAATCACAAGTTTTGGAAAAATATTGCGTTACTGCATCGCTCAATATATTAATACATGATCAATTACACATTTGTGATTGCTCATATATAAATCAATGACAATTCACTACTTGTATGGCCACCTTAAAGAAGATCAAATATTCAGGGAACAAAAACTTCTCAAATGGGAACACAAACTGCAATAAAAAGTTGACAGGAGGTTCTATTCCTTTCCCAGTCTATAAACAAGACAGTAACAAGAGTGTATAGGCAACAGTTGTGATCTGATAACCTATGGCAACAAAGCGAATTCTATCTAGTGCTCTAAATGGAAAGGTTTGGGTTTAGCTTTGAGCTACAGAGCATTTTGTAAGTGCAATCATTTTTTATGCTATAATGATCAGTAGGTCCCTTGCATCCTGGGCTACCATGATATATCTAAATTACATTTCCTACCTCTGAGCCGCGGAGGTGTGAATACTTACCGTCCACTGCATGCAAGTCCCTGTGCTCTTGGAAACAGCTGTAATATTTGTACTTTTTGCCACAGATGTCACACGTGTAGCGAAAATTGTCTGTAAGAATGAAAATATGTATGCTAGCACGTTCAGATGAATGATTGGACACAAGCACATTGACAAGCAAGACAGCAACACAGCATGTGAGAGGCAGATGACATTATACAGTCTGTGTGACTCATTGCACAAGAAGGTCCAACTCTGTAATGAAAGAAACTAGTAGCACACTCAGAATTACTAAAAGACTGCTTAAAACCATGTTACATTGTAATTCATTACATCAATTGCTTGGCTTAGGAACTGACCCCCACTTGTATCACCTAAACTATCTCTACTTTAACTCAAGAACCAGAATCCTGCAACAACTACTATAGAAAAATTACATGTTTCTCAGGATATTAGCACTCAACAGTGGGACACACAGCTATATGGTGGACCTTCAAAGACATTATAGTCTTGGGACCCCATGTTATTGTGTCACTCTTATAGCAGTGTGTAAATGTTCTGGATCATAAGGTGTCTATAGGTCATTGATCTGAGACTCAAAGAACTTGTGCTTAAATGTTTCAAATCCACAAATGTCTTTGTGTCATGGCTCTGGGACATCAGGTATAAGTGTAGCATTATGCCAAGGTCCTCTGTAAGTATGCCACTGTTCTGAGAACCCTAGTGACAGTGGATGAATGTTTTAGAATCACAGCTGTCATTTTTCCATTACTCTGGAACCCCAGGTATCAATGTGTTATTTTTCTGGAATGCAGTATCAGTGTGCCATTATTCTGGGATACTGTAATTTTTTTAACTGTTTTTACAGCGAAGTACCACTGTGTTAGGATGCTAGAATCCCAAATGTCAGTGTGCAATTGTGCCATTGTTCTGGATCATAAGTGTCTGTCCACCTACACTTGGTTTTTTTTTTTATTTAAAGAGATGCATAATGCTCAACAGCAAACTAGACTCTCTTTTTATTAACTAAACGTAAAATTCTCATGCAAATTTTTCTGCTCCAGTGTAACAGACATTTTGATAAAATGCCCAGTTTTTTGTCAATCTAGTGCAACACTGTTTAGGTAGGGTACAGATGCCTGATTATAAAATGTACTGACTAATAATGAGTGCCTAAACGCTCATTCTCCTGAAAAAAAATGCTTAATACCTGAAGGGTATGTAATATAAAAGATGTATAATGGAATAGGTACCGTAATTGGAGTTTTGCTTTGCATTTTAAAGCTCCATCACTAACCTCAATTGCAGCTGTGACCCTTTTAAGCTCGGTTACTTGTTTATTCTTGGAACCCCTAACAAATTTACAAATAGGTTAGGTGCCTGTTCTCTTGAACCTCAGAGAGATGTTAGAGGCAATGCCCAGACTGAGTCTCTAAAAGCATACATATATAGTGGAATGTATAAAACATACAAGACTAACACGTATCAGATCACATATGAAGAAAAGTGGACATGGATTGGCATGCCACAGAGATGGTCAGTCCAGCCAATGGCAGCCTTGTAGTGCATTCTACATCTGTTTTGACTTTTGCACTGCCTTACTACAAAAGCATGTTCCAAGTGAATGCTGCACAGGAGCACAGTACATATCTTCTTTATGGAGTAGACGAGCCATATTGTGCGTTACTCTAACTTCAAACAAATCAGTCAAAACCTTCCTCCATGGCAGAAGTGATACCCTGAGTGTACTCAAAATAATATGGGCCTCATTTGTCTAAGGCTCTAACTAGGGATGTTCAGATACCAAGTACCGTTATTGGTACAAGTACTACTTTTCCAGCTCCAAGACTAGACTAGAGAAAAACTCAAAAGTTAGGAGGCAGCTGTCATTTTTAAAGAGCAGTGGCTATGGGGCTTTTGGGATTTGTGCATCCCTGTCTTAATGTATGATTTGTTTTATATATATATATATATATAATACAAATTACTGATCCCTTTTTTTTTTTTTCATTGTCATGTGAAAGTTTTCAAAAACAATACAAACTAATGGACTTCAGGACAGTGGTGGCGCGCCACGAGAACCCTGGTAGTTCTCATGAAAATGCCAAATATCAGCACTGGTATTTGAACTGGTCTCTGTGCATCCCTAGTTTTAAACAGAAGAACAGTCTGTATTGCCCCATAGCATCAGACACAGACATGACCTGACCTGTAAAGTGGAAGTAGAAAATTGAAATTCAAAATATGGGATGACAGTTATGGGGAAATTATAACATAACTGGTCATTATTTAAAGTGATACTAAACGCAGAAGTTAAATCTCAAAAAAACATTTAAGTATGTTAATTATTGATTATTTGTGTATCACTCGGTTGTAGATCCTGAAACTATCTCTGAATTCGTGCGGACACTGTCCTTCCTTCTGGACGGTATCTACGTATGTTCCCCATGGTCCCTGTGTATGTTGTAAAGTAGCCACCGCTCCAACCTCACTCCCAGTATGGACTATAATCTCACATTTAGTATACTAATTTGTATTGAGATTGTAGTCCATCACAGGGACCATGGGGAACAAAAGTAGCTACCCTCCAGAAGGAAGGACAGTGTCAGCACCAATTCAGAGACGATTTGAGGACCTACAGCTGAGTAATGCACAAATAAGATACATTTTTGTTAATAGGGTACTTGAATGCATTTTTTAGATTTAAACTGAGTTTAGTGTCACTTTAATTAGGGTCAGTCAAACATTTGGGTTCATGTATTTTGTAGTTAACTGGGCTTTTGATTTGGCTTTAAAGGAACAGGAGGTCCAAGCCTTTGCTGGCTAAGATAAATCTAAGGAAAGAGGACATACTGCAATCTTCAAAACACAAAATCCCACTGCAGGAACTTAAAGGGGTTCGAACTTCATCAAGCTATATTTTAGAAAGTTGGTGCAACCAAAAACAATCATGCAGTTACAAATACATTATCACTCAATAAGATTTCAGGTTTTCCCTAAGTGGAAGATCCAGGATAACAAAAGCCAACTTCTGACTTGCTGCTATGGGTTATTGCACCCTGCATATAGTCTGTTAAGTGCAAATATATTTCTAATCAGGAAGTGGAGGCCTGTTCTTTTTATAAGTGTTTACAGGACTAACCCCTTAACATTTTTGCGGAATCCTTTTTCTTTCCTTTCTCCCACATATAAACAGGGCTATT